TAATTTTTACCTACATGCCACACCTTATATTTGAAAGTAGATGATGCTAGTAACTAAGTCGAATCGAGTTGAATAACTTTCAACTGTAGGATAATGAATAAAAGTTGTGGTGAAGATGATTAGGCGAGATTTTCACAAAAGATGATGCACAGACTATGTGAATCTTTACTACAAAACAGAACTCAAGATGTAGGCGTAGAGTTCGATCATTATTAATAACGAATTGTCAATTAGCACTTTCTAGTTCAGATTCCAAATAACAGCTTTGACATTTAAACCACTGTGTTTAACTATCTTTATTTCGAATAAGGCATTAAGAAGACAAATTTCGCGAGATGACATCATTTCGTAATTTCCTTACAACTGTTTTACAGCTAACATTGTTAACAATAGTAAAATAAAGATCATGACAATTACTCACTTAAATAAAAATCAAAAGTACACACTAATGACCAATCATATCTAGATAGGTCATGTTGTCCATGTCCTGTAACTGACATCGAATACATCATCTTAATGTGTACAGAAAATAGTAGATTCACCTTCCAAGAAAAGGCATACAAACAAATCGATGGTGTTGCTATAAGGAACTCTCTTGGGCTCCTGTTAGAAGATATTTTCATGTCAGAATTGGAGAGACAAATGCAAGGTATGCTTGGAGAATTTATGCTGTGTAAACGTTATGTAGATGATACTCTTATTATTGGTAATAATAGTAAATCCATTGTAAATTTTATTACTCTATTTAATCATATTCGTCCAAATATTCGAGTAACTTCCGAACTAGAATCGAATAACAAACTCGGTTTCCTGGATATTACTTTGACTAGGAGAGATGATGAAACGATTCAACGATCTATTTTTCGTAAACAGACATGGAGTGGACAATATCTTCATTTGACCAGTTTTGTTCTTATCCAGTATAAACGTTCCCTAGTGGAATGTTTGTTCTCAAGGGCTCGAAAAATATGCACGAGTGACACATTGATGGATCAGTTTCGACATATACATTCAGTTTTATTAGCTAATGTTTATCTGGAGAACTTTATCACTCATCACAGTAAAGAGAAACCACATCTCGAAAAGACAGCTTCTGTACCAAAGGAAGCTATCTTTATTAACCTACCATTCAAGGACAACCAGATTATGCAGTTGACAGCTCAAACACTTCGGTCAGCCATCAAACGCACATTCTACGCCGCATCTCTTTTTCTCACTTGCCGAACATTTTCGATCCCTGTTCCTACGATTAAAGGACGAAATTCTGTGGACTCTACTTCAAACTGTATCTACAAGTTCACCTGCAGCTGCGGTGCTACCTATATAGGTAGAACGAAAAGAATGTTCCAATGTCGTCGAAAAGAACATGTTCCGAAATGGCTACTAAATCATATAGAAAATCCCAACGCGATTAATCTGAATAGAAATCCAGCATCATCCATTGCAAAACACTTATTAATGTCAGGTCACAAAATCAATATTAATGACTGTTTCACAATTATTTCACATAACTCTAATTCACTGTTATTGAAGTTGATGGACGCACTTTGGATTAATGACACACAATCTTAACTGTGTGTACAAAAAACAATTTACTTCAATCTGCGCCTACCATGGACATGACCATGATCTAAATATGATGTATGTACTTTTGTTATTTATTTGACTGAGTAATTATGATGAATTTTATTTTACTATTGTTAACCATGTTAGTTGTAAGGAAACCTCGAAATGATATCATCTCACGAAATTTGTCTTCTTAATGCCTTATTCAAATTTATCTTTGTTTCATTTGTATTTAATGAGACTATTTGATAGAACACATAGTGATGTAGTATCAATAGCTGGATACGGTTTTGAGCACAATTTATTGTTCACCTCCATATCAATGTATTCACACGCCTCCCAAATTAGCTCTATATATTCTTGCCAATTCTGTTATTCACTGTAGTCTTCCTGATATCCGGTATAAGAAGGAGGGGGAAAATATATAAGGCAGATTAGGAAGGCCTGTGAATACATCGACGTGATTATGGGCAATAAACTGCACCACTGTGCTACATAAAATACAATTTAACTTGCCTACAGCCACACTGAACCTCCCGCCATCCAGCACACACCCGAATGGGATATAGACACTGGTCCGCCGTCTGTAAGTGAGGTCACAAGAGCTATTTGTAATCTGAAACGAGGTAAGGCGGCAGAACCTGACGGAATTATTCCGAAGGTGTTTAAATATAAGGGTGACATACTAGTTTGTAGATTAACTGGGGTACTAGGCAAAGTCTGGGAATCAGAGACGGTTCCATCAGACTGGGGTAAGTCACTTATTAAACCGATATTCAAGAAGGGAAACAAGTCCTCGTGTGATAATCATAGGGGGGTCAGCCTAACGAAAATAGTTTCTAAAATCCTAGGCTCAGTAATCATGCATAGGCTAAGCAGAACTCGGGAGGAACAAACGAGGGAAAATCAAGCAGGCTTTAGACCAGGTAGAGGGTGCATAGAACATATCTTCACTCGCCGACAGATTCTAGAACATAGACACACTTTCCGGCGTCCAACAATTGCCATATTTCTTGACTTGAAGGCGGCCTTTGACTCCGTGGATCGAAAGGTACTATAGCAATGTCTGACTGTGAAGGGAGTGCCAAGAAAGTACATTGCACTAATCAAGGCACTCTATTCAAACTCATGTAGTCGTGTAAGGGCTTATGGGGAATTGTCATCTGAATTGGTAACAACCAGTGGTGTCCGACAGGGATGTCCACTCTCCCCATTTCTGTTTAACTTCATCATAGATACGCTGATGGAAGTATCCTTAACTGAACGTAATGACTTAGGAATCGACTTGTTACCAGGGAATAGTCTTATGGACTTGGAATATGCAGATGACATAGTCCTGTTAGGGGAGGATGCTGAAAAAATGCAGAGTCTTCTGAACACCTTGAGCAGCAATCTTCGTATGTTTGGCATGCGATTCGCCCCTACAAAATGTAAGATGCTGCTACAGGACTGGACCACATCAACTCCTAACTTAGTGATAGGGAGTGAAGTGATAGAACATGTTGACCACTTCATGTATTTGGGAAGTTGTATCAACACCAACGGACTGATTGGCGACGAAATCTCAGCACGGATCCAAAAAGCTCGAGATGCTTTCTCTGACTTACACCATCTCTGGCGTAGGCATGACATCCGGCTATCAACCAAGCGACGTGTGTACTGCTCAGCGGTTCGCTCCGTCCTTCTCTATGGCTCTGAAACACGGCCAATACGAGTTGAAGACATGAAAAGGTTGACTGCTTTCGATCATAGATGTCTGTGATCTCTTTCTCACGTTAGGTGGTTTGATAAGCTAAGTAATATTGACGTTAGGCGTAGAGTGTTGGGAAAAGAGGGAAAATCAATCGACGAGGCTATAAAGTTACATAGATCGAGATAGGTAGGTCACGTGCTGCGAATGCCTAACCATCGCCTCCCCCGACGGGCATTACTAGCTGATATAGGTGCAGGTTGGAAAAGAGTAAGTGGTGGCCAAACAAAAACATGGCCTCATCAATCCATGAAATCCTTGACAGTTAAACTGAGTCAGGTAGGGAGATGCAGACTCCCGGGTTGGGGCCCTCGGGACTCTAGGAATCAATGGCTGGAGACAATAGGTGACATGGCTCAAAATCGTTGTCAATGGCGCAGATATATTCAGTCTCTGTAATCTTTCATATTTCTTCCTACCATTACCCATTCTGTTTCGCTCTTATACCTGTCAAACTCTATTGATTCTCTTCACTCATCTTCTTGTCTATCCTTGTGTGCTATTTGGAACATGACAACTTGAAGTGCTGCACTTTGGTGCCAAGTTCTATGTTGAATCCAGACAGACAGACATAAAATACAGGATTATATTCTACCACAGCGCCCAAATTCTACGATCACGACAACTTTATTTAACCTAGAGAGAAGGAGAGAGTTCAGAATCTTATCACTAATGCGAACAAATTTAGTCTTTCCTTGCTTTTCTCAAATGATGAATTAGTTCTAGATCAAAAGTGAATTCACTGTGATACTCCGAGTGAGTTCAGTATTTAGTAATGCTTTTGAAAAGCATCAATTTAGTTTTCTCTTTACAGCCTTCCTCTATACTTATATTTCGACTTAAAATCCAGGATTTTACCATTCCTATTTGTTCCGAGTAGGAAATAGGGCTTAAAGCTTGAGTGGCGATAATCTTTTCACGGATTGATGTTGCTAACCTCACGCTAAACTTTCCCTTTTTGCTAGGCTTATTGCCGCCTAAGCGAATTTTAGAAGTACATTAACCGGGAATCAGACGTAGGTAACCCCGCATGGTTGGAATGGAATCTACCATTGAGTCACCGACGCACGCAATGATACATCCACTGACGAGGGGTAATTATGCAATGGTTTGTCTTCACCATTTCTACTATAACTTATTAAGATAAATTGGCTTATTTAACGTTTTTCGCAAGATATTAGTGTGTGAAGTTAGATAAGAGTCACCACAATATATGCATAGCCGGATTTCAACTTGAAACCACGGCCACTTGCTTAAAACTATCAATTAAAGCTCAAGATTAACTAAGCTGACAAGAATATCTTGGAAGCGAGATAACAACCTATTTTTAATTTAGATTCATTTATATAGGATAATGTACTCTTACTAAATTAGAGGAGACAAACGAACGAAACCCTAAGTAGGTTGCACGCCTATATTTTTTATGCAACCTTTTTGTATTTAAAAAGCCCAAATTTTCCTTGAACAAAAATATATTTTAATTTACTTTAAACACTTTTATTCCACAATATCCACGCACACTATACACACAAACACATGCGACTAGTGCAAAGGACAAAAAAGCATTTTTAAGAGTACAACAAAAGCGAAAGTTTTGTTATGAAGCTAATTTAAACAATGAAATATGACTAACATACAGTAGTGATAATTATACTTGAAAGGATAATCGATAATTTGAACATTTTCAAGCATTTGGATTGCAAAAATGCCATTGTTCAACTAAAATGTATAAAGAGAAGAAATAAAGGTCAGTGTTATTATTTATAGGTAGTCTAAATGTTAATAAACAAATGAAAAAGAAAATAAAGGACGCAACAGTTTGCCTTAAATGTAATTGTATTTCAATGTATTCAACGAGTTATTGAAACATCTGAAAAACTTAAGACGATAACACCCTCATTAGTCAATGGCTACTAGTGAAAGAATCTCTAACTGATTTATGTAATGATAAGGTTCGACAATTTGTCGCACGTTTTCACCCTCTAGATAGATTGTGAGCAGATGATTTAATTCAATTTTAGATTTTTCCGTTGACTGATTGTACCGAAGTGCTCGGTCTCAGGTTGACATGTAAGCTTCTTGTGCAGGTGCTTCGATGATGTCTGGTCATGTAGTTCGAAGTCAGTTGGTAGAATCCAGGATGCACTGCTAGTTACATGACTAGACATCGTCGAAGCACCTGCACAAGAAACCTACATGTCAACGTGAGAACGAATATTTTGGTCCAATCAGTCGACGGAAAAATCTAAAAATGAATTGAATAATTAATATGACCCGTTGCACAAGAGGTGGGTCTCGTGGCCTAAGTGGTCTAGTGGATAACGCTCTGGCGTTCGAAACTATGGACACTGGGTTGAAGCCCCGGTGGGGACACCAGCGCTCAATGTGGAATGCAGGCACGTCCAGATGACGAGTCCCAGGTAGGACGGCATGCGCATCCCGGATTCCACTGCTAGTCACCATCCAATAATTAACTTCTTGTTAACAGATGAATTTACAATAAAATAAGAATTGAAACATAGATCTTTCATACAAACTCTGCATTTAGTCTAATCTTGTTGATAAAAACCATTTTCTGCCTTCAGATCATTGCTACAATTTTAACTGTTTCACTTAGGTGTCCTCTCTCTCTCTCTCTCTGTTATTATGTTTACAGTGGTCTTTGTCACTGTTTTGCAAAATATTAGTTACACAATGATCTGCTGCATAATTTTAAAAATTGACTATAAGAATCCGGAGGACCCGAATCGGACAGTCTACCCCTTTCTACTTGGCTCAAACCAACGGTCAGAGACTTCATGGACTGATGTCACGTTTTGCTTTGTTCGCGCCTAACCCTGTATCAGAAAATATTGCTCCATAAGGGAGGCAGTGGCTGCTTGTGCACGAAACATATCCCTTTTTTCCCTTGCCTTTCTTACTTAACCACTCTACGCCTAACTTCAATATTACTCATTATATTATACCAGTTAACTCGGGATATAGAATGCAAACATATGTCGTCAAAAGCAACTATGCCTTTCACAGCTTCCACCTTTAATGACCATATCTAACTATTATAAAATTTATTACATTTATCTGTTTTTTGTCACTTTACAGAAGATGCGTTAAGAGTGAAACTTCACCATAGAGCTTCTAGCGATCTATTATCTCGTGTGACTTTGAAAGTTATATATTCAGCTAAAAGTAGCCAATACCTTGGCAAAAATTAACACTTTTTTGGTAGAAAACAAGTGAAACTCACTTGATTTGTTCGTTGATTCACTTCCATGTTTAAATTCCTCATACTTTTGTAAAGCATCTGTAAAATCTTCTTTCGATACCATGTAGGGACTTCCTTTCACGGTGACATTAGCTCTAATTATCGGAACAAGAAACATGATGCGGTTAGTAGGAAATACTACAGCTCTACTATCTTAAAAAGCCTAGGGAGAACTAGGAGTGTAAAGATCAAGATTATTTTGACGACAACGCAAAGCCTATGGATTAGAATAGATATCTGACCTGGTAACGCACACAGAAACATTGTCTTACTGGATGTGACTGGCACAACAATACGCACATGTAGACTAATTCATAACAACTTAGTGAGTGGATAGTCAGTGAAGGATTTCACGCCCTTCTGGAAGACATATACGTAAACTCCGATTATGCATAAATGTTTGTAGAGCTGCACGCCGACTACAAAATGAACTTTAAAAACAAGAGACGCTAAAGTACTCTTATGATTAACTGTTCAATTAAATGTCACTGATGAGTATGGCAGCAATACAATATACTGTACAAATTGTGATGAAAATAAGTGGTAACCTAAATTAAAGACACTGTAGTTTTAAAGTGACTGAAACAAAGGGGGTGATAACAGCTAGCTCTAGAACACGACAAAAAGAGATAATTGTGTAGATACAAACTGACTCAAAATATTTGCCAGCAATATGGGATTTTCAAAGTAAATAAAAGCAGGTATTGATGCCAACTTTATCTAATTAACTAGCTCACATGTTCTCTAGCCGATCGTACCTACGGATAAAGACAGAGGGTTGGCGTGAGGCTTGCAACCCTACACCACTAAACCTACCAAAGTGCCACAGAAACTTCAAAGCACAAAAAATACATTAAAAATACAAAAAATTCCAGTAACAATCAATGGATGTGGACCGTCAAAATTGTCAACTGAAGAGTCAGTAGTCTACTCAGGTCACCTAGACGACAACCACGAGCACACCGAATCAGTGAGTGGTTACCATGATGTCACCAGTGGCAGTCAGAGCTCCAGTGCACTGGGAACCGATCTCCTTGTCCAGGATCATGACAGCAAGATCCAACTCAAAAGGGAGTAAGGAAGGATGGTCACAATTATCCAGTGCTACCCACAGTGCTACAAACAACGCGGAAGAAGAGAAGAAAGAAGATTTTCACAGACAAATACAGCTCTTTCTCAAGATGTACAAGACATACGTTAGACCACACCTTGTGGCGCAAAGTATCATCACGCCCCTACTGCTTAGAAGAGAGGCAAACCTTACGCAGAGAGTCCAAAAACGGGAGATATAAGGGGTCTTCAAAACAAGCCATCTAATAAACGGCTAGACGAATTTGGTCTCTTCACACTTAGCCACCGTTTGCTGAGGAGGGACTTCATTACTCGCTTTAAGATTGCAAATGACCAGAAGCAACCAAACAAAGGCTTTCTGCCATCAAGTACATATGTGCCTATTAGTAGGAATCACTGAAGTATCGCTCACCAGAGGGCGAAGACTCGGGTGCGCTCCCGCTTCTTTTCACTGTAGGTTGTCGTTCCTAAAACTTTTTTCTGGAACTGCGGCTACCGCAGCGTCTGTGAACAGCTTGAAGCAGAGGCTGGACAATTATTCAGCGAAACAATGACTGCGTCCAAGCGGCCTGTTCCTTAAAATCTCATATACTGTTATTGGGTAGGCGCTTAAGCTCATCGTTCTACTTCCTCACATTCTCTCCTGTCTTACTCCCCTGACTACTCCGGCTATTACGTCGCCTAAGATATTACTACTGATCTGTACATACATGAACTAAATATATATGCATATCAGTCTCAAATTTCATTAGCTCTCTGCTTTTACGTTCTATTATATCTTTTTTAGTCCACAAAGCCTACTTGATTATGTCTGTTATTATTATTATTTATTATTATTGCATCCTTTAGTTCCTAGACAGACATAGGGCTTCAGCTGCGCACCTCCATTCCCTTCTGTTTTCTGCCAACTTTTTCACTCCGCTCCAGGTTTGTCCACATGCTTTCATCTCCTACTCACATGACCTCCTCCAAGTCACCCCATCCTATCACTGACGACCAACTCGCCACCCGCTTCCCTTTCGGGTTCCACTCGAGCGATGGCTTGTCTAGTGATGTCACTCAATGGTTTCCTCAGCGTATGGCCAGCCAATCCATCTCCATTTCTTCCTGCCTATTTGATGCACAATCGGTTCCTGCTGTGTTGGTTCGCTCATTGCCAAAGATCCCTGTTGCTGATTTTTTCTGGCCGGCCATCTGATCTTGAGTATTGAGCGAAGACAACTGTTAATGAAGGTCTGCAGTTTGTTTGAGATGCTCTTTATGACGCGCAGTGCAAGTCTCTGATGAGTACAGTTGCACTGACTTCACATTGGAGTTGAAAATCCGGATGTTATTTTTGATGCTGAGTGCTGTTGACCTCCACACAGACTTAAGAGTAATGAAAGCTTGTCTCGCTTTTCCGATTCTGGCTTTGATATCCTCGTCATTTTCTTTCTCCTGTATTTGAAACAATGCTTCCGAGGTAGGTAAAGGAGGTTGTTTCTTTCAGATTCCTCCCATTTATGCTAACTGTCGTCTGTTGTTGTTGTTGCTGTTGGTGTTGGCCAGGAATCTTTATCACCTCCGTTTTATCTATGTTCACCTGAAGGAAGTCCTATCTTTGATGCTTCTTCTGCCAACTTGTTGCTTTTCACTTGCAAATCTTCCACTTTGTGGGAAATCAGACATACATCATCATCGGCGAAGTCCAGATCATCCAAGTCTTTTGTGTGAGTTCATTTTATGCCTGTTCCCTCGTTGGTTACCGTTGTCTGTCGCATTATCCAATCTGTAATCAGGAAGATCATTGGCGATAGTAGACAGCCTTGCCTCACTCCCGTCCTCACTTCGAAGGCTTCCGTAAGTTTCCCGTTGTGGATTACTTGGCATGCAGCATTGTCGTATAACTGTTGGATGAGATGTATAATTGTCGATGGGACCCTGTAGTCGCGAAGTAGTTGCCAAATGACCACTCGATCGATGCAGCACTATCGAAGGCCTTTTCAAAGTTGATGAAGTTGAGTGAGGTGGAGAGGTGACTGCCATTCCAAGCTTTGTTCAATGATGATCCGTAGAGTGGCGATTTGATCAATACATGATTTGTTTCTCCTGAACCCAGCCTGTTCCGGTCGGAGTTTTTCATCCAGGTCGGTGTGTTTGATTCTCTTCAGGATGATGTGGCTTAGTATTTTGCTTGGGATGGACAGGAGTATAATTCCACGCCAGTTTATACATTGACCTAAGTCTCCTTTCTTTGGAAGTTTGAATAAGTATGCGTCTTTCCAATCCTCGGGTACTTTGCCCTCTTTCCGCACCTTCTCCAGCAGTGGCGTCATCAAGTCCGCTGTTGTCTCTGGGTCTATTTTTAAAGTTTCTGCTGGGATTCCATCTGGTCCTGGTGCTTTCCCAGCTTTTAGCATCTTGATGGCATTCAGGACTTCTGATTTCGTCGGGGGGTGAATGTTCACTGGTAGTTCTGCTTCCGTTGTTGGTATTGTTGGGCGTGTTTGGGTGGCGGACGATTTAGAAGTCTTTTGAAGTGTTCAGCCCAGTGCTTTCTCTGTTCCACCTCTTTGGTGATTGTTTTTCCATTGTTGTCCTTTACTGGCTTAATTTGTATCGAACTTTTGCCCGAAAGGTGCTTAGTTGTTTGATAGAGTGTGGTGAGGTCTCCTTTGCCTGCAGCTTGTTCTGCTTCGTTTGCCATGGTTTCATAATATTTTCTTTTGTCTTCCCTGGCACTCTTCTTCACTCTTTTGTTCAGTGTATTGTAGCTTTCATTCAGCTCCTGTTTTTGTTGCTCGTCAGTGCACTGGTTATTATTATTATTATTGTCATTATTATCCTTTCCTTTTTGTTGACGACACTGGATGACTAACGGTTCAACTCTATTCACATTAGCAACACGGTCTTAACACATTGCATACTACATACCTTGAATAGTTAATCCTAGTACCTCTGCTTTTAAAGTCAAGCGAAGGTACGACAGTCTAGTGAAGGAATAGGTCAAGCAGAAGTTTGTCAAAGACCAGGAAACTTTTCCTCACAACCAAGAAGTGAGCACAAAGAAATCAAATTGGTTGACACTAGCCTGTAAAAAACGATAGCGGATATTGCAATGAAATGACAGCAGTGAAGTTATCCGTTACTTGGCGTTACTGCATACATTGCACTTTCATTCAGATAAGCGATCTGTGCAGGACAGCATTTCCACATCTGTGACATTACAGTGGTGCTTGTGTAATACAGAGAAGCCGGAAACACACTGCTTTTGGCAGATTTTTGTTTACCGTGTAAATCAGTCTGAATTGTGAACTAGGTGAGATGCTTTGACGGGTGTCGACTGAGTATTCAGTAAAGGCGTTGCTGTTTAAGCAATCGCCTCGTCTTTACGGCTAAGCTGGGCAATGTTACCTGACATATTTTGAAAAGATGTGCATAGAACCATCTATGTATCTAGTTCCACAGGAGCAGGTGAACTGATATATGCATATTGGAGTAGTCAGATGCGGGAGTTTGTCGTTAATATTAATTGGAATAATTGGGAGTCTAGAGAAAACCACCGTTAGATTTGCTGCAAGAAACTCCTTCTCTAAGGCTCTAGAGATTCAAAATTGTCAACTGGAGAATCAGTAGTCTAATCCGGTCACCTAGACGACAACCACGAGCACACTGAAGCAGTAAGTGGCTATCACGAAGTCACCACTGGCAGTCAGAGCTCCAATGCACTGGGAACCGATCTCCTCGTCCAGGATCATGACAGCAAGATCCAACTCAAAAGGGAGTAAGGAAGGATGGTCACAATTATCCAGTGCTACCCACAGTGCTACAAACAACGCGGAAGAAGAGAAGAAGGAAGATTTTCACAGACAAATACAAACGGTAATGTACAACAATTCCAGTGTTGACATTAAAATCCTCATGGGCGATATGAATTCCAACCGAACTGGGAGCAGATAATACAGGAGAGAACTCATCATGGGAGATCTAGAGGCTCTCTCTAGGCAGGATGAATGAGAACGGAGAATTATTCGCATACTTCTGGACTTTCAATGATTTGGTGATCTGAGGGAGCGTGTACAAACACAAGGATATACACAAAGAAACATGGATTTTCCCACTACATTGCAGGTAACACACACTTCGAGACATTATATCAGATAACAAGGTCTCTATCCGGGAAGAGATCAACCACGATGATGAAACCAATGAAAGATGTTCAAGGGAACCTGATTACCAAATAGGAGAAACAAATGAAAAAATGGGCTGATCACTTCAAAGTACTCTTATATTGATCATCTCCGGCAACTTGCCCAGAAATACACCATCAACAGCACGCACACAACTGCCTGCCAATGGACATCAATCCTCCAACGAAAGCAGAAATCTTGAATGCGACCAAGGTACTAAAGTCCAGTCTGGAATGCGCCAGGACCTGACAGATTTCCCCTGCCCCCGAAGCACTTAAAATGGACGCAGAGACTGAGGCAGATGCGCTCACGCTATCATTGCAAAAGGTTTGGAAAGAAGGAAAGGCATTTACCGACTGGAAGAAAGGCCAGCTAGCATGTCAAGCCACCAGAGAAGGGTGACTTGCGCCTCACTCTACAAGAACTGACTGACGTGGAATAATGCTCTTTTCCACGCCAAGTAAAATACTAGGTCGCATCATCCTGAAGAGAATAAAAAGATACAACGGATACAAAAGTCCGCCAGCTCGGAACAATTTGGATTCAGGAAAGGCATATCATGTGCTGATCAAACTGCAACTCTACGTATTGTTATCGGACAAAGCATATAGTGGCAGTCAAACATCTCTCCATCTCAACTTCATCGACTTCGAAAGGGCCTTCGACAAGGCCTTTGACAGCGTTGACCAAGACGTAATCTGGAAACTACTTCAACACCTCACTCAACAGCTGACTATATGGCAATGCTGTATGTCAGTCAGGTGATCCACAACGGAAAACTCAGCGAGGCGTTCGAAGTGCATACAGGGGTAAGACAAGGCTACTTATTATCACCGATGGTATTCCTAATTGTGGTAGACCAGATTATGAGTCAGATTGTCGGGAGCGAGGAGATAGGAATACACTGGACCAACGATAAGAAGACTCTAGAAGATCTGGACCTCACAGATGATTTCCGTCTAATGTCACACAAACTCGAAGACTTATAGGCAAAAACCATCAAATTGGCTGAAGAAGCAGGAAACGAAGACAGGACTCTAGGTAAACAGAGAAGACGAAGACAGAGGTGATGAAGATAACCAACCAACAGCAACAACAACCAGCACCAATCACCCACCATCAATGGGAGAGATTTAACAGAGGTTACCTCATTCACTTATCCAGCCAAGAAGCATCGTTTCAACTACAGGCGGATGGCTCGGACGAAGATGTCAAAGTCAGAATTGGAAAGGCGAGATACGCTCTCATCAACCTGAAACCAGTTTGGAAATCTTCTGCACTCCACCTCAGCATTAAGAACAAGATTCACATTTTCAACACAAACGTTAAGTCGGTTCTTATATACTGGTCAGAAACGTGCACTGAGTGTAAAGAAAAGGATTTCCGACAGGTTGCAGACTTTTATCAACAGCTGACTTTTCTGGCTGCATACTGAAGAACTAGTTGTCAGCCAGCCAGAAAGAATTAGTAACAAGAAAATGTGGGAACAAACCAATCAAGAGCATAATGCTCGAGAAATATCTGGGAGAAAATGGAGGTGGATCGGGTATACATTGGGGAGACCATCGAATGACACCGCACGCAGTGCCAACCATCACTCGAGCAGAATCCAAATTGGAAGCAACAGATGGGTCATTCTAGAGTGACATGGAGAAGACTGTGCGCAGAGGAGATGAGAGATTACTGTCAATAGTGGACTTAGCTGAAGAGGACGGGAGGAGACAGAACAAAGTGGAGATATGTTGTTGAAGCTCTATGCCCCATTCGGAACCCAAGGGTTAATAATGATAATAACCAACTAATCAGATTTATAAAGGATAAGCTCCACGAGAACACTGTAGTAAGTGGTCTGATTATTTGGAATAATAGAATTTTCACAACCCCTTAAGAGACATGGCTACAGATTTTTACAGGACACTTTGTAGAGTACTTCGATAATCTCGTTGAATTTTGAACTGATTTAGACGTATATATGATTCCTAAAACTCCTATTTCTGAAGTTACGAAAGCTACCTATAATCCAAAATGAGAGAACGTAGCAGAATCTGATAGTTTACCTGAAGGGTTTAAAGGTGGTAGAATTCAGTTACTGGCCAGACTAATTCAGTTACTAGTTATGGCACAAGAGATAGTTCCATGAAACCGTTCATCCTACACTATAAGCAAGCATACTAATGATCTTATTATAATCATAGAGAAATCAGTTTGACTGGTAAAACATCGAAGATCTCAGGGTCTAGCTGACATTGGATGTGGAGTAAACAAGCTCAATAAAATCTAACAGGATTTAGACAAGAGTGCATTGATCGTAAGGAAATTTCGCACTTATGGGTGGAGTGGATTTGCACACACAAAAAAAAGCTTAAAGTGGAAATGATAGTTAAATCCTCAATTATCAGCTTGTAATTTAATAATATGCCAACTGTTTTTGAGTTAAATCGATCAGCTGTTTACTTGTTTTCGTCTTGCTATTATGCTTCTTACTCTGCGCGTGATCCACACCTGTGTATTTGAGGTCTGAAGTAATTAACAATACTAGAAAATCTAAAACTGGTTTTACTAACCGTACAATACTGCCGGCCTGAACTTTAGTAGATATCAACTTTTGCCATTGTTCATGAGTTTGGGAGATAATTTTTGTAGCGAAATCCTTGAATGGAAAGAAAATGAAACATAAGAATATGAGTCATGAAAACGTTGAAAAAAACCTTTAAATCCATTTAGATAGAAACAAATGTTCCTTATATTTGTGTCATAGAAAAGTTAGTAGAAGTGGGTTTCTACAGTGAAACAACTCTGCATGTACTTATAAAATAGCATGTTACATTAGTGCATGCTTAAATAAATAGTCCATGACAGTAAACTGATAACTTTATCTAATTTAGATGAATTGTGAAGGCAAGATATTACTATGGCCAATTTTAGAAACTATTATGTGGATCATTGGCTCGAATGCACTGGTTGGATTTGGTATTGAGATCTCTCTCTACTTACTGAATACTGGAGTTCAACTGATATTCGTTAGTCTTTGTACAATAAAAACGCTTCGTCGTTTGGTACAAAAAAATTAGTTTTTGAGTAACTGACTTCTAAGGATGACCAACACAACAATGACCAAACAATATTCAACCTCAGCAAAATGACAAGGAAAAACATCGGATTCAGTAATCCTTAACAAATCCTCATACAAACAACATCAAAGGAGCTTCCGCAATTTCCACTAGTTTATTTTACTTATTATGATTATTTCGATGTGGATACAATTACTTCTATATGGAGACAAATTTTGCGTAAGTTACCTGCTGTCTGATTTTTTCTAAGTCTTAAAATTAAATGGGTTTTGATGTTGGAATATTGGTAGCAATACACTTATTAAACTCAAAATAAATCCAACTGAAATAAACGTTTCCTACAACTGAATGTGTGTCGACAGTCGCACCCGGCTTTCTACTGTGGCCCACACTTTATTTACGTTTCTCACCAAGAGAAAATATCTTCAAAGTCCACAATAAGAGCAAACTAATAGATTATTAGGCAAGACAGCTCACAAACAGAAATCATAGTCTTTATTTGAAACGTTATTTTATTTAGCTTAAGTAAATAAACGAAAAAGCATCATACAACGTTAAACGCTGCTCAAACCACAAATGTTTTGTTACATTAATCAATTTGTGTTGCCATACTCTTAAGCAAATAACTAAGTACAGGATTGACGGTTACATTTATGAAACACAAACCGTTGCAACAATACCTTATTTTGAAACAACTATCATCTAAGGACTACACTTCAAACAACTAAAAGAATTAACAAAATAGACGTCGTTACACGTCTATATGTAATTAGTTTATAGACGACATATATAGAATCGAAGGCGCGTTACTCAACAAAATACGTTAATGCAAGTAGCCATGATGTATATCTGATAGTACTACATGATTACCCAAACCTTGGTAGGTGAAGCAGAGTTCAGTCTTAATTCATCATATGAACAATATATATATATATATATATATATCACCTGGCACTTATCTGTCTGTCTGTCTGTTTTCGACATAGAACTTTGCACAAATGTGCGGAAGTTCAAGTCGCCACATTCCGTGTAGCACGCGAAGCAAGAGAAGAAAGTACAAGAAAAGCATAATAGAAACAGTGAGCAGAGGTGTGAGACAAAGGAGTAATAAAGAAATACAAAACAGTTTCATTGAAGATCATAAGTCACAAGGAGTGGATGCATCTACGCCAGCCATTGAGAACGATTTTGAGCCATGTCACCAATTGTTTCCAACCATAGATTTTTACCGTCCCGAGGACCCCAGCCTGGAAGTCTACACCTTTCTACGTGGCTTAGACCAACTGTTGTGGATTTCATTGACTGATGCCAAGTTTTTGTTTGACCGCCGCTAGCTTTTTTCCAGCCTGACCCTATATCCGCTAACATAGCTCGTCGAGGGAGGCGATGAATTGGCATACGTAACACATGACCTAACCACCTCAGTCGATGTAGCTTCACGACTTCGTCGATTGATTTCCCCTGTTTACCTAGAACTCTACGCCTAACCTCCATGTTGCTTACCTTATTATGCCACTTCACACGGGAAATAGAACGCAGGCATCTATGATCAAAGACAGCTAGTCTTTTCATGTCTTCCACTCTCAGTGGCCAGGTCTCACAACCATAAAGGAGGACGGAGCGGACTGATGAGCAGTACACCCGCCCTTTGGTCGATAGTCGAACATCTCGTCTACGCCAGAGTCGGCGTAAACTAACATGCGAAACGAGCCCCCTGTATTCGTGCTGAGATTTCGTCAGAGATCAGCCCGTTAGGGCTGATGGTACTTCCCAAATAAGTGAAGCGGCCAACGTGCTCTACCACTTCACTCCTTATTTTTAAACTAGGCGTCGATGTAGTCCAGTCCTGTAACATCATCTTGCATTTGGCGGGAGCGAATCGCATGCCAAACATTCGTAGATTGCGGCTCAAGGTGTTTAGAAGACTCTGCATTTCGTCAGCGTCTTCGCCTAGAAGGACTATATCGTCTGCGTATTCTAAGTCAACGAGATTATTCCCTGGTAGCAAGTCAATTCCTGAGTCACTGAAGTCACCTAGGGTTAAGTCCATTAACACATCTATGATGAAGTTGAATAGAAAAGGAGATAATGGGCATCCTTGACGGACACCACTGGTCGTCATCAGTTCAGATGACAGCTCGCCGTAAGCCCTCACCTGGCTGTATGAGTACGAATAGAGTGCCTTAATCAGTGCAATATATTTTCTTGGAATTCCCTTTACAGCCAAGCATCTCCAGAGAACTTCCTGGCACTTATAAGGGATGAAGTTATTGGTTTACAGGAACAAACATACAGCTCGGTGGGCATTATCCTAAATTTGTAACCAAAGATTGTTGTGTGGTTTGTATGGTTAGGCACGTTACTTTTTGCTACTGGGTTTCAGATTTACAATCTAATACATTTACTTCAATATGAACAACCTGATAGTATCATAAGAAATATACACATGTGATACATGGTCTAGTTTACGGAAAAGTATTTACTTGCTAAGTAGTTAGTCATTAATTTGTCTCACAGACTAAGAAATTATCTAGAGTTTTCAGTATGGTTGAAAGATGGGGATGTAGACTTTGTGGATTGATGCTGCTTTCAACATATTCACTAAGTTTAAAATTCAACTGCTTCACATTATATACACTACCCACTATTAGCTTCTAAATAATCACTGAATAGAACCGAATTAACGGAACAACATACATCAATCATTACATGACTTCGTAATAATCAAGAAACACTAGTGCGACAGAAAGCATTTAAAACTTAGAATGAATACGATGGCAACGGTATACCAAGACTTAATGGTAACAAAACAACTGCCTAATTTGATGACGCAACTATTATTGTGTAAACAAAGCAAGAATACAGTAGTCGATAGTATGCTGTCGTTGTATTGAGGGAAAACATCACGCTAATATAGTATAGCATATGCAGTGTACAGTTAAGAAATGAAACCAATATGCTTACTTTATTCTGAAATTCTCCATTAAAGGCAAATGCATTTTCTGGTTTTCCAGCGGGCACTTTATAGTACTTGAACCAGTCTCTTGTCGCCTAAAATGAGTTACACAGTGAATTTTTTATAAAGTCTTATGAACAAGGTATGTGGTCTTTAAAGAATCTTCGAAGGACAATCTCAAGTGCCAAGAGATTATCCGAAGAAAATTTAGCTTAATGCATACCATTTATATCTCAGTTAGACTCACCAATGCAAGCCTACAAAAATCACTACGCCTTCAGAAAACTAATATGACTAAACAAAACTAACCTTTAAAAGTCCTGGCATATGTATATCCACATCCTTAATATCTTAAATGAGGTAAAAAATAGTATAAATTTGCACAAACCATTCAGTTTCTCAGCCATTGGATCAGCTACATTGATGACTATAACCTTCCAGTCGGTTTCACCTAAAAATTAAAAATTCATACATCCATAATTCCAGATTTTATATAAGGCGTCAAGAAAAGTGATAGGGAGGCAAAAAATTTCAAAATATGTGTACAAACATTGGCTTATGTAATCCTTTAGTGCGATGCTATCGCTAATTTTATAAAAAACCACATCATACACCGTGTATATTAACACATCCTAGCAATGATTCAACTAATTTCATACCCCCAAGGTCGAAATAACAGAAGGCCTACAGCTGTCGGCTTTTTGAAGTAATAACCGCAAAACACAACCAAGTGACGAAAATCAGCTTACGGGACTTCGAGAACAGTGAATATGTGATAAGTCAGGTGATGCTGAAATATTGTTCCAGCAGTAAGAAATACAGAATAATCAACGTCTACGTCAAAAAATTTACGGACTGAATCAACTGTTTTAAACTGCATCGTTAAAGATGTTTGGAATATAGCTGTTGGATTGCCAGAAACTAATTATCAATATCAGTGAGTTACGTTCCAAATTAATTTGTTAGGAAAACAACCAGAATTCGGAGAAAAGTGCTAATTCCCTCTTAAGGTTAGTGCTGCAATATAATTTTAGTATAATCGTCTACTTTGATGAGGTTCTAAAGATGGCTAAATAATCGTTACTCTAGGTAAGTGTTTGTACTTGTATTCTCGTCTACTTATTATGCACCAGTATTATTTTTCTGGTAAGAACTTCTATCAAATACAACTAATTATTTTCTAAATACACAGTTCAAGGTAGAGTTTCACTACGATTTTATACCGTGTGATTATTTTGAGGTCAGAAATCCGATTAAAATGGGTCCGATGACCACTAAAAGATGTATACCTACGGTCGAACGAGTCGTCAGAAATCATCTATGCCAATTAGCTGTACTGTTTCGGTATTATTTGTCTTTCTCAACTGCACTACTTTAGATATATAGCTGATATGACAAATCGGTGTTAAGTTTTCGTATTTTTTATTCTACTTGTATGTACCAATGATCCATGTGAGTGGTTTCCAAGTACTAATACATCATAAGAATATACCAGGTAGTATACAGATTTTATAAACCGTAATTGGTTGCTCCATTAGAGGAAGTTGATGAAAAACAACAGTTTAGGAGCCGAAGAAGAAAGAAAATGAAGAAGACGATTACTAACTTTTAAGAAATCTATTTCATGTTGAAATAAGGACTGTCGATCTGGTAAGGTTAAGGTGATTGGTATCAATGGGCTTTTACGAGTGAGATAATAACAAGATGACAAGTTAACTGAAAACCAACCTTCATCAATCATGGCCAATATACCCAACACTTTGACAGGTATCACTGACCCGCAAGGCCAAATCTTAGAACCGATTTCGCAAACATCAACAGGATCATTATCTCCCTTAGTGTTTGTGTTTCCATCCACATGACTTGGATCTTCCCAGGTTTGAGGTAGGGCACCATAATTCCAAATGTAACCTTTGTGTGGGAATACATTGTCTACATAACGTAACTGGTTATTTTTCACATCTTGTTTGATAGGATTCATGAGCTCCTCTTTGCAGATTTCCATTTTCGCATTTGTCCAACGGGGAATTTCAACAACCATATTGTAACAGTTATTTGATACGTTTGATAACAGTGGGACGTCATGGAAATATGATATTGGAGAACCTTCGTGAGCTTCAGAAAAAGAAAACCCATTAATCAAATCATACGGAGATCATAATCGAATGACTAAGGAACACAGCAGTTAACCATGACACTGCATTACATAATATCAGCTAACTGAAAGGCTGACGGACAAGATTAGAAACTGCGTCAGTCTGTAGACATCATCTTTGATGCCAGTCCGGTGCTTTGCTTTCTAGTAGAAACTACTGCACAGCATACATGAATTTAAAGATCTAGCGACACCCAGCTAGCGGAAGACTCGCGTCTGCTGCAGAGGTTTTAGGTGCCCATGTATTTCTCCGACATCGGATCATCTTCTGCAGTGTATCTGAGGTGGAACTCGAAGTTTCACTCACTGTTCCTGAGCTGTGAAGTCCGCGCCAGTTGGTTATTAGAAAGCCCCGTCTTGTAGCAAACTGTTCCTATTCAGAAACCACGTGAAGTTCAGTGTAAGAGTTTAGAAGGTTATATTGCCTGTTTCGTAAGACAATTTCTTGATGTCAATTTAAGTCACTGGAACACTGGCTTTGATCATTATTACACAGAAAAGTTTATTCAGAAGTACAAAGAGCGAAATTGATTACATTTACACATCTTACCTAAGAACATTCGGTAGGACGTCGTATTGGACGTCCCACGTTCAATCTGCACACTGGAATGCATGACAACGCTGTAGGATGGAAACTTCACGCTACGAAACAGACTTCTGAACATCCCGCCATCCCCCACGACCTAGAGTTTAATTCATTCAAAGTCCTCACATTCAGCTTAATGAACCATTTATAATGCAAAATTGAGAGCTTTACGGAAACACCAGAAAACAACTTCGGATCCGTAATCATGGAATGAGTACAGAAGAAGGTAATCGACTACGAAAACTTATTGTGATCAAAACAATCTGAACAGCTCCTCGGATTTACATATAGATCACAATATCTCGCCCAAAAGTTCCTAATTGTGGCTATCAAATGTGCCTGGTGAATAGCGCCACCCTGTGTTATTTTTATTAAGTCATTCAGCCGACTGATGTTTTCATAGAAGGTATTGGGTACAGTGCTGAACTTAGTCATAGTCCCCTGAAATGTGGACTTCGCACCACTTCAACTTTGAGAACACTGTTCATCATGGCTGTGATTGCAATCTCCGGATCACTCTGGGGGCATTTAACAATTTCAGCGAGCCACAAAAAACTGAGAATCAAATACACGAACTCAAACATATCCCCTTATATTTATCCTCTCTTGAAAATACCCCCAATATCTCTAAGTGATTTCCATTCTCAATCGGAAAACCCAGCGTGTTCTCATCGTTTACTGAAAGGTGAGTTTGCCATCGAGATTCGATGCTAATATTAACAATATGTAGGATTTTTCAACACAAGTTGACGAGTTCCATTGACGCATCTTTCAATAAATAATTATTTCAAGTATTTACCGAGTCCTTTCTTAAAATTCAGGGAATCAGTGGCAGATTCGATGGGTGGGTCTAAAGCAAGTATGCAGGTATGTTAAAAGACTTTGAATTCTCTTTCGCGTACCTACGAAATGTGTAAAAAGCAGAAAACGGTACTTACCTTTTGGTCTACTACTATCCATCCCCAGTAAACACGAGCTCTAAATGCTTTGAAATACTGTTGTATACACATACAGCACTTCGCACCACTCAGGTGTTTGGAATAGCGACTTTACTGTCCTTTGCCAACATAAGAATGAAGAGCAATCCGTCTGATGCTAAATTCTACAAAAAGAGATTTAACAAAGCGAAAATATGGTAGTGTTACTTTAATCTGTACCAGGTTGCTGGGCGAAAATTCGCAACACGGATGTATTCGGGTCTCTAAGCCTCAAAATAAACTGCAGTCTCAAACATTCTCACTCATTCTAGTGGTTTGTTGCTGATTGCGACTGAATTTTCCCCTGGGCATACCCCAAGCCAAGGCATTGAAATCTCCAGCTACAGTGGCATGATCACAGCCCTAAATCCCGTATTCCCGTGATGGTGCTGATCACCAGGTGGTTGTGCTCTAACACATAGGTGAGTGATCGGCAAATGCCACACATTAAATGATTGGAGTGACCTACGGCGAAATGACGCCATATAGATTCTGGGAGTTCAGCAAGTAGTGGTCCCGTTGCACGTACGCATTTAAGTTGCTTCACAAGGTGCGTAGCGAATCCCCATTCTATGTTATCACTGTCTCTCCTGGTTAGAACCACGTCACTGATTTCGTTGTCAGCAGTAGTGTGAGTTAGCCAGGTTTCAGTCAGGATTATTATTTTCAGGGGCAGGTGTGGCTGTAGGGTTCTGAATTCACCTGCTTTTCCTCTCGGCCCTCTCACATAGCTACACAGGCATCTGACAGTGGGTCTCACTACCTCAGAGTATTGTTGGGTAGTTGACACAAGGTTGGCTGCAGGTTGAGGATTTAAAACTGGAGCCAGTTGGCCGATTCCGATGGAACCACCCTGCTGCAGACTCAAAGTTATTCGGCCGTTCCTTGTAATCGCTACAGCCATCCTTATCTGTACGACAGCCTGATGATCATTTCATTAAGGAACCTAGTAACTGTTTACTTACAACACATTTGTTATGTTTCCCGGTATCTCATTTCCACAATTCCCGTACAGTGAAAGCATAACTTATATGCATATGACTACCGATTACTTGTCTAAAAGTTACGTTTTTCATCATTATTCATCGGTCACTACACACTCTACTCCCTTGTAATGACCTAAAATTATTAAGTTGACTTCTGTGATACACATACAGATTCTAACACCCAATTCTTTTTAATGCTTATTCTATGTTACCCGCATGTGAGACCTAAAATTAAATCCATCTTGTAAACATTTACAACAGAAGTGTTTCTACCTCTTCATACAATGTCAGAGAGATTCCTAAATGCAACTGGTCCTCATAAAATTGATATTTATCACTGAGGAAATCAAACAGCATGGATATCTGGTAGTTGAGGTTTGTATTAACCAGAATACGATGAATGGCATGCACTGTGTTTGTCTTTTACCGCTAGTTTCTTACTGTTATAGCCAACTAAGTGAGTTTTTGACTGACAGAATGTAATATATTCCAAAAAAATTGTCTGAGCAGTATCAACCAGACTGCTTTAGGAAAATACATCATCACCATTAGGATGATCGGCCACAAAGCACTTATGAACTTTTCTGCCAGTGCCGACCATAAGTCATGCTGGCACTTAGGCTTTCAAGCAAATTAAGTAACTAACCTCTTAGTGAGGCACAGCTAGACAGACCAGTGTAAACTGAAATAACCCTGGAAGTTTTCTCCAGATAATCTCCCATACTCTCATCTAACTATAAACCTAGTGGGTGGTAGGGCAAACTTTCATGTCTGAGCGAGAAGTGTAGCTAGGCCTACTAGTTTGTACATGCGATTTTGTAACACAATCACATTCAATACATCCTATACATTAGCAACCCCCACGTTTACTTTAGGATACACCCAAGGAACACTCATCCATGAACTCCCAACCATTGAATTCAGTTATAAAACACAACGCTTCCACAATATGAACAATATGGCATCACCAAACGCTATCTACCCATTGACCTTCTGTAATGAGAAATGTACATTCTCGAGGCTTGGACTCTTCTGAACAAGGTCATGGTTCTGCGGCTTGTGTGTACTACATAGTCTTAGGTTTAGTGAAGGAATGTCGTGACGTCCTTGCAAGAATGTTCAGCGCAGATTCACATGACATCCACCGCACTTGACAGAAACCCTTACTTATGCGAATAACCAAATAAAATACAGTATTGGGCTCTCTGTTCCAAGACTGTTAAGGCCCAACTTAACTTCCATTATCTTTCATTTTTACAGTGGCTTTAAATGTAATTGTCCAACCGTCTTCAACAAGATTACATACTGCGGGCTATCACACACATCACTTTCACTGCCAGATATCTTATGGAACTGTGTCCATGGTCTTTCATCCTATAATGTGGAACAAAATTATATTCGCGATGGGAATTTGCAAACTTTGCATCCATTTAAAACGACTTCTGAATAAGTTTCTATTATCTAAGAGCATACGTCACATACTAATATAGGCCATGTGAAAATGGGATTGCTAGTACACAATGCTCTCCTAATAGTTGTGTTCCTAGAAGTCTGAGCGCTAACCTCCGTATGCAGACTTACATCTATGTCCTATTTTCAGTGTTTGCATTAACCACATATTCCGTAGTATGATAATAATAATAAGGATTTACTTTATTCCAAAAACCGTACTTGTGATGCAGATTGGAATTTTCGGCATTAATCGAAATATTGCATCCAATTTCCTCAAATTATAAATTAAATTAATCACACAGAAAATTTTCCACATTTGCAATAAGGATAAAGTCAAAAACATTGAGCATACAATGATGACAGCTAAGGTAATAATAATAATACAAGTGAAAATTGCCGTGGTCTTGTTTCGCACAGTATTGTCGATGCGGTATAGAAATCCTAGCATGTTTGAAAATACTGAACGTAATTATCTCTCCACATGATACGGTGGGAAGGGGGGGGGACAAAGATTATAGCAGTCATAGAGATATGTTGGTGTTTTCAATTATGAAGGTAAAACAAAGAAGCAATAGAACCATAAATATAATAGAAATAATAAAATTAAACCTTGAAGGTATATAAGGATGGATGGAGGAAATTGCTTATTTACTAGACGAAAAAAGGTTAGTTAATTATAATAATAATGTATATTCTCATATAAACATATAAATTTACATGAAAATGGATGCCATTTTTACAGGGACGATCAAGTATCATATAATATCAAATCGTAGATTGTCTATAAGTTAATAATGTTTGAACAGTTAAATATTTGATCTATATATAAATACACTCATTGTCTGAACTAGGCTGTATAGTTATTGAATTGTACAATTGTCCTCCAGGTTGAGCGGGAAAATCTACTTTGTTTCGTTTTCATCCCGTGGTTGTCGGCATACGATAACCAACCAATATTGAGGTAAGTACAACGTTTACAAGGGATTGAAATCTGTTTTAGAAAAGTAAAAGTGCTAAGGTGAATGAATAAAGTGTAATGAAATGGGTAAGCACAAGTATCACTAATAAATGCATTAATAAAGGAAACTCCCTAGGCTGACAACGTTCATTTGCAATGTATAATGCTTCCTGTACAGTTTGCACTATCATGATGTCCACATTTGGTTTTAATACATTTTTTCCTTATGCCGGTTTTTTATATTTTACGCCTTTTTGTGCATTTGGTGCACAACCGTACCCTACAGAGAATAGGAATAGAATAAGTCGAATCAAATTCCTAAAGAACTATAAAATGTTAGGTTTAATGGGATATAATGAGGATCAAGTAAAGACGTTATTAGAAAATAAATGAGATAAGACATTGTGAATTGGTATTTAAAGATCCGACAATGGACAGCAAGTTAGTTTATAAGATGCCCCATAAATCTGTGCAGAGGCCACATGGTCGCATCTCAACAATAGGCTGAGTGAATGGTATATATTTAAAGGCAGAAGCATGATCTGTCTGGGCGTTCATTATTATCTTTTTCAAGATAAAGATCTAAGCCCTCATAAAAATCAGAAATACCTCGAGCCTTCAAATTGTATATTGCTGTTCCTGCAGAATGGGGCGATTCACCTTAGTGACCCCCACCATATCTACTGACCAGCTAGCTCCACCCTCC